GGTGTTAGAATGAAAAAGAAAGAATAGAATGGTTAAGTATTCCAAATTTTGGTTAGATTTTTACCGTCTACGTGATTATCCTAATATAAATAAAAAAATTGACAACAATCGGCCCAGTACTTTCGGAGATTATCTGTCTAATAAAAATCCGGGACGGCAGACAACGACAGACAGATAGACGGACAGACGGACGGACGGAAACGGGAGACCTATTTCTTCGTACTGCAGGCGTCATGAAAGGTCGAGAAAACTAAAAGTAGAGAGTCGGTCGACGGACTCGCTTACGCTCTGGAAGTAAAAATGACCTTGTCGTGAGAAAAATAGACATACGTATTTATCAGATGGTAGTATGACAGAGTTTCTTCTTCTTTAGGAAAGGGCAAAGTTTTGTGGTCATGATACTTAATCAAGATTTGAAATAATGACAAGAATTCGTTGGGTGATAAGATAACATTGAAGTAAAGTAGGAAGGTGAGTTGGGAGTTCTGTATTCTAGCTTGGTCTAGGTGGAAAGGTAGAAGACCATGGTTGATTTTAAGGTTTCTAATTATTGGTTTCTTCAAAACCACACAATGGTGTAGATTTAGTTGGTCGTCTTAAATTTCTCTTGTGATATTTATTATGTGGTGTTACTATCTTATCTTGTTTTTCCTCAACAGTTTTAACTGTTTTAAATCGAGGTTAGAATTTATTGCGTGCTTTAGTTTTATGGTACGCTGGTCCAGGTGAGTATTCAAATGGCTCGTGGCGATTCTTATTTACCGTTATATGACATGTTCTTTACGTTGTGCCATTTTTTATTTCATTATATAGTGCTTCAATTTTTTGTTTATGTGCTGTAACATAGTCGTATGAACTATCGTTTTTCTCGTGTGTATCTCCAAAGGCGATGGACTATCTAAATGTCCGAATATTATATCGTGAGGTGTGTGTTGAGTAGCGGAATCTATAGAATTGTTGTATCCTAGTATGGCTTAGGTCATTTGGTCAATTATATTCTCTTTTGGTTTCGTAAACTGTAGAACTCGTAGATGTTCTAAAAGGGTTGAATGTAGTCTTTCTACAGTACTGTTAGAATTTGGATTGAACGGTGTTGTCTAATGAAGTTGTATTTTATGTAACGCTGCTATGTCTTGAATAACGTGGTTTTTTGATTCTGTGCCATTGTCCATTGTGAAAGCTTTGGGAATGCCGTGGTGGGAAAAATATACGGTTAGAGCTTTAGATATTAGGATGGCTTGAACTGCTGCGATAGGGCATATTTCGAAAATACGTTGATGATTGTTAGAAATTTTTGGGTTTTTACAGAAAATGTATCTAGATGAAAGATTTCGAAGGATTTACTTGTTGTTGGGGTTAAGGCTAAAATTTGTTAAAAGGATTTCTATCGTATTTACCTGCCTGACAAATTGGACAACGATTTATTACCTTTTCAATAAAAGTTCTCATATTAGGCCAATAGTGACTTTAGTGTAGATATGTTTCATTGATTCCTCGGTGATTCGTTATATCCTTATGGTGATTTTCAACTAATTCCACTTGTTCATCTTCCTTCACGACGTCTATTAACATTTTTGGACAAATAATAAGTTTTAGTGCATTGATTTTAAAAAGTGCTTTGAAGAACTGCGTTCAGTCGAGGTATATACTCTTCGTGTGGCACGTATATAGCTATAAGATTTTTCTAAGCGGCATAACTTTTAAATGATCTTTTCCTGTTTTGAAATATTGTTTTTGTTTTGCATTTTCTAGGTGCTGGAGGTATTAATTCAATGAACACTTGTTGTTGGAATTTGTTTACTGGAGTTTCTGATATAGGAAGGTATAGTATGGGTGCTTCGATCTCGAGAGTGGACGGTTTGGCTTTCGTTTTCGTCTGCTGGGTGTTCATCAATGACTGTTTCAACAAGTTGTAGTTGAGGTTCTTCTGGAATATTGTTAAATAGATATTCATCAAAGTCGTTCTCAAGATTATCATCTATCATATTTTCGTCAAAATTTCGTTTAAGAGCATCGTTTAATATGGATTCTAAGTCGTTTTCTGGTACTTGTTCTTCATCATTTGTGGTTTGGTTATGGGTTTCTTCTATCTTAATACGTGACAGGGCATCTGCGTTTGCGTTTTGTTTGTCTTTGTTATAAACTATGTTGTAGTTGAATTCTTCTAGTTTAATATGCCAACGAGTTAATCTACTATTAGGATCTTTCAACGACATTAACCGAAGAAGTGGTTTGTGATCAGTATATACAGGGTTTCTAGAAATCAGTATAGGGTCGCATTAGGTCATGTAAACGTGCCGCCTCTCAGATTTAACTGTACGGAGATCTGTACCAAGTGCCCAAGGACGCATGACAAAGATCACACATGGATCACACACATGTGTATAACTGGTTGCCTAAACGCTTCATATGTTTAAAAAAAATAAAACTAATTCATTACGATAAAAAGAAACAAATTCATTACGCTTAAACATCACAGTCAATGTTGAAAATGTTCATCGTACTGTTCAAGGCACATGTTCATCCCTTTTAATTTAAAAAAATGTTCTGTAACATCCTTTCGTCAATACTTTGGACCCGTTGTTCATTTATTCAATTTTGCTCAAGTCGTCTCAAATCAGCTACAATTTCATCAGATGAAGTTTTCCACGAGATTTCTCTTTGTTGTTACTGCCAGTTCGAACAAATCTGTTGATCTAATGTGGGCCTTTAACGATGTGTCTTGAATTATTAAATCACGGTATTTGGCCAGATATTCTTGCTTACAAGCGGTTACAGAATAGACTCACTCTTCGTTTACGAATATCTCATTGCGATAACAAGACATAACGATGAAAGTGTCTTGTTCAACGGAATAAACCATTTTCACAGTCTTCGCTTCCTAGCACAAAAACAAAATTTTCGTACGTAACCACCAACAGTTCTGAAAATGACAGTTTTGTTGTTTTGAGCTTGGATTAACGAGAATTCGTGTAATTCGCACTTGAAAAACATTAAAACAATAAAAACGACGACTTTAAATGACAGATTACAAATGATATTAGACATTAATGTGACAAGTGAGAACTGTCATAATTTCAGCGAAGCGGAATTTTTGAAATCCATGGCCAACTACGCCCTTAGAATCATTTATAAAAGCCCTGTATATTGAATTTGTGTCCAAACAAATAAGGTCGGAAATTTTTTGTGGCCCAGGCAATTGCCAGTAACTCTTTCTCTATGGTCGAATAATTGATTTCTCCATCATTCAGAGTCCTGCAGGCATATGCGATGGGTAAATCGTTATTTTGATCACCTTGAGATAATACAGCGCCTATAGCAAAATTACTTACACCTGTAGTACGATTGAAAGGTGTAGAGAAACCGGGATACTGTAATAATGGTTCATTTGTCAAAATTGACCAACAATCAACTTCTGTTAATAAATTCTTCGGTGTGTATTATTTTACGGTCCTTTATAGACTATTAGTTAATAGTTTAGTAATCTTCGCCATATTTGATATGAACTTTCGGTAGTAGCTTACCAGACCTAAGAAACTTAATTTCTGATGTTGTCTTTGGAATAGGAAAATTCTGGACTGCTTGAATTTTGTCCTGATTTGGCTTTATACCTCCACATGTTACAATGTCTCCTCAATATTTAACTTCTTTTTTAGAAATTCGGTTTTATCTGGCTGGATCTTTAAATTTACTTCTCTAAACTTTTTAAAGATCTTATTTAATATTAATAAATACTCTTGTAGGGATACGGAATAATCTACGATGTCGTCATATAGACCATGCATCCGTCTATATCTCTTAAGACGTTATCCATAACTTTTCGAAAGATTGCCGGAGCATTTTTAAGACCAAAGGACATACTTGTAAATTTGTGATCGCCATCCAGACGATATTAAAAAGACCACATTTACCGTAAGTCTTTTTAATATCGTCTGGATTCATTTCGATCTGATGGAATCCGGATGCCAAATCTATGTAGTAAAATATTGACATCTTCTTAACTTGTTCAGGATATCGGTAATGTTAGGGAGAAAATATTGATCGTCGATGGTTTTAGCATTTACGGCTTATATACTTCTAAATACCGTTCAGCCAGTGTTACAGAAAAGATTACGTTTCAAAATGTAATTTAAATACATTTTTTGTCGACATCAAAAGAACATGATGATGTCGTTTTAGATTAGAAAAATTTATTACACAGATGATAATCTTGCAAACCTCTCGACTGAATACTGTGTGCACTTTAAGATAATCTTGAAGATGATAAATAGAGAACGAACGATTTAGGTTTTCCATCCCCACTAAGATGTTGAATTGCCACAAGAAGCGCAAGCACGTATAATCGTCTGATGATAAAACAAAATTTGTGGCGTCATCTCAGAATTTTGTTCGATTATTTTAACTGGAAATGTACGTTTGATGACATCTTTCAAAGTGGGTTCAATAATACTTATAGTCTGAGAACAACGTAATGATGCCACTATTTCTTCATTATTTCTTGCTACCATACTTTCAATGTTTCTTATCCTTCCATTCATTATTTTGCAAACTTGTACTTCTCATATCCTCTCCTATTGTTTTATTGCGGTTGTTTTTATTTTTCTATTGTTTTTTCGTAGTATTAACGGCCGATCTCATACTTTTCCAGACCATCCGTTCTTTATGATTTCTTTTTAAAAGCTGTTTCACTTTGTAATACTTTTACATATTTCACTAAATATTGAAATTGTATTATATTATTTCAGGTAAAGAAAATACACACTAACAATTGTAATTTAATTGGTCAATTTCAAGCACCGTAAAAATATATAATTTTCTTCTACCATGTTGTGAATACTATATTTTATTAACAATCGCCTATTATCTTTTTGTAATTAGAGGTTACGCGTTTTGTACTAGTTCTAGAAATTTGCCATTGTGATGTTGAATTTACAATTTGCTCTTGTGTTTTTTCAAAAGGTGAAAGTAGTAGTAAGTAATAATTGTTTTATTTTTCATAGGACGTCTAATCTGGATGGTTCTGTTCTAATTAATGGAAAAGATAGAAGTTTAAGACGTTTTAGGAAGATGTCTTGTTATATAATGCAAGACGACTGTTTATCTCCACATCTTACAGTTAGAGAAGCAATGACAGTATCAGCGAATCTGAAATTAGGGAAAGGCATTACCCGCTCTGAAAAACGAGTTGTGATAAATGAGATTATAGAAACTTTAGGATTACAAGATTGTACAGATATTTATGCAGCAAGTTTATCTGGTGGACAAAGGAAACGACTCTCTATTGCCTTAGAACTTGTAAATAATCCTCCAGTGATGTTTTTTGATGAACCTACCAGTGGATTGGATAGTTCATCGTGCTTTCAATGCTTATGTTTGTTAAAATCTTTAGCAAGAGGTGGTAGAACTGTGATATGTACAATACATCAACCCTCTGCTAGATTGTTTGAGATGTTTGACCATTTATATATGTTAGCTGAAGGACAGTGTATCTATAGAGGCAACGTTTTGGCATTGGTACCGTTTCTTTCCAGTATGGGTCTTAACTGCCCGAGTTACCACAATCCAGCAGATTACGGTAATATTTTACTCTCAGCTTTTTTGTGCCGAATTTATAAAGCATTAATCGACAAAGGTGTAAAATCTTACCATTTTCCACGTATTAATATTTCAATTAATGCAAAATGCCTTGAATGAGGTAGGAGTATATATTAAGTTTTGTCACGTTATGAAAATAAGGAATATAATTAAATTGTTAAAATAATGTTACTCCTTATATTTATTACTCCGATCTTGCTAAGTGGTCTAAAAAATTCCGAAATCAAAACGACAAAGCAATATATTGTTAAGAAATAAACCCATACGCTGCTCCGGTATGACGCCTATGGGTTTATCGAGGCTTTTCTAGAATGTGCGCCGATGATGGGTGACTCATCATCGGCGACGGCGGCCGGGCGGCGTTCGCATAAAGACAAGCCTGAAGCGGGTTATCGGAAGCGTCGATTGCGGCGTCTAGAAAAACCTCGAAGCGGCGTTCGCGATCCATCCAGAGGAATTTAAGGTTTTAAACAGAGGCCACCGTCGGCAAATTCGAGTTACCAAGTTAATAAATTGTTGAGTTGAAATTAATAAGTGGTTTTACGACGGATTACGGGTAGATTGGACACGAATTCTGAAGATTGGTGCCTGTTGCGACTAGCAAGCTGCAAAAATTGAGGAACAAATAAAGTAGATGATGGCTATGCTCGCACAGATGAACGCAAGAAATAAAGAAAAGAAATAAAGGGGCGCAAAAATGGAAAAAATAAACGAGAAAATGGAAGCAAGAAACAAAGAAAAGGAACAAAAAATGGACGCAAGAAATAAATAAATGAAAGAAGAAATGGGTGCAAGAATGGAGAAAATGGACAAAAAAATGGACGCAAGAAACAAGACAATGGATGAGAAGATGGACGCAAAAATAGAAGAAATGAACGGAAAGATGGACGCAAAAGACGAAAGAATGAACGAAAAAATGGAAATAATGGACGTGAAAATAAATAAGCAAATCCGCTTAACTGAAAAATTCCAAAAGGATGTAGAAGCAAACAAAAGTGAAATAGCGGAAATTAAAGAACAAATGAAAAACGTAAAAGAGGAAGTCAAGTATCAGTGGAGTGTCTGAAAAATCGAACGGAGAACAAAATGGAAGATCGAATGAAATCTATGGAAGATCGGATGGAGAGTAAAATGAAGAAATTTGAAAAAATAAAAAATACAGCAACATCTGGTCCATACAATGTGGTGGCGACACAATTCAATCAATCACCTATGATGGTCAGACGCCTTAATCATCTTACAAGAAGCAGTTCGAAGCAGCAGCGACGGCGAATCTCTGGGAAGAAGAGCATAAAGCGACAGCCTTGTAATAGCTTTGCGAGGCGGAGCGTTGGAGATACTGCAAACTCTATCCGAAGAAGATAGAAGCGGAGACAGTGCCCTAACTGCGGCCCTAGAACTTCGTTTTGGCGATGAACATCTGAAAAAAGTTTTTGCTGTCCAAGTCAAAACAAGAATACAGAAAGCGGGGGAATCTACAAGAATTTGAAACAAACTTTAAGAGATGGGTACTCCTATGCACCACCATCCTTCCAAGAGAGATTTGCAACAGAAACTTTTGTAAATGGCATTCGCGACGGCGAAGTTAAGAAAATCCTACAAGTATCAACGTATCAGACATCATCTGATGCCCTAATTCGTGCGCTGGAAGTGGATGCGGCGTACAATTCTTTAAGAATGTGCCACAAAGTCAGAGTGGCAGAATTTGAGCCGGAAGAAAACGACAAGCTAGAAAAGCTGTTGGAAAAATTCTCACAGCAAATAATAATAAATGGCTTAGCTCAAGGACGAGAGAACGGTGCGCCTCCTCAGAAAAGCATGGAGTGTTATAGATGTGGGCGCCAGGGACATCTCAAACGCGATTGTCCTGCTCGATCACCAGCTCCAAGGAGAAGCACACAACACAGATCTCCTCGACGAAATATGTAGGAAAACTAAATACAGCCATTACTTTGGGGGATGTGCTGGCTGGTAAAAATAAGGCCTCCAGGGAAGTAAAAATAGGCAGTTTCACCAAAGGCAGTGGTCCAACTATACCGGGGAATATTAATGGGACTTGCTTGGCAATTACGATCGATACTGGCGCTGAAGTCTCACTCCTGCGTAGAGTACTCTTGGTAGCTAAAAATGTAATGACTATACCCGAAACAATCAGATTGAAAACCGGGACGCCAATCATGGGTGAAGCAGAGGTCGAAATCTGTATTAGTCAACTGAAGATAAAACATCGGACGACGTCCAGGAAAGCCTCAAAGCGGCGTTCGCGATACATACAGAGGAATATATGGCTTTAAGTAGAGGCCACCGTCGGGAACGATTATTATTCAGCCAACGAGTCCAGTTCAGTGAATGTTGAAAAGCCAGTCAAGTTGCGCCGGAATTATTTTGTCTATAATCGCTGTGTAATTAGTCGTGTAAATTCGAGTTACTAAGAAATAAATTGTTGAGTTTTACCCACGCCGATTTTATTTACCGATCATCGTAACAATATGTATCAAACCTCTCTATCGTGGTAAGATTATATTGCGCATGTACTGATACTCTTTAGTTTGTAATTGTTGTACATACTATTGTTTGTTTTCAATTACACGGCTGAGAATTGACATCTCTTCTTAATTGAAACATAATCTACATTACCCACTGAAGTTTATTTTTCGCCGCTTTTGCGTGCCTGTGAGTTGATTTTACTCTGATTTTTGCTAACACTTTGTTAGCCCAGGGCCAACTATGCCTTAGGTATGAAGTATTAGTTCAACTGTTAATTTTTGAAATAAGACATTTTATGTTGTTTATACAATCGAATGCCAGTACACGAGATTTAAACAATACCTTGACTACGTGAAATTCCAAATAATATGTATACGATATATTAGCTTAAATAATATCACACATAACGAGATTATTTCAGCTGGTTGCGGTGCATGAGCAATAACGATTGGTCGTGACAGAGACAGAACGCTGTTTCTATGTGATTTCTAAAGAGCTCCCAATATAGGAGTAATAAAATATGCCTTAATGGAATCTCCCTGTTCACTTTTGGTATACTTTACGAATACGTATACAATAAAAATACGATACTGATTTATTTATAAATTTGCGATGAGTGTAAAACGGCCAAATTGAATAATTAACAATGCGAGCAGTATTTCATTGTATCCGTTATTTAAATTTGACATTTTCTAAATTTCTGCAAAAACTACCTTTACCGCCCAAAAGTTTCGTAATGTCATTATCAGAGTTAGTCAAACCCGAAGTGATGAGGAATCTGTGCAGTCTCAAACTCAGTGGTGCTAGGTTCTATTCAGAGTTTATCTGATCAAGATCATTTTTCATTTTTAAAGAAATTTTAATATTTAGGAGAACTTTTATAACTGGGGAGAACGTAGAAAAAGTAGTAATTGTTACTAGAAATTCCCGACATTGTAGCAGAAAATGTGGCCGCGACTGCAATGGTGGTAATCGGTCGACAATGAGCAGCACTTGCGAGATGCCGAAGCCTGGTCATTATTCAGGGGAACTAATTATTTAAACGGTTTTTTAACTATCCGGGTTGTTGCATTGGTCAGTTAATAACTCATGTGGGCGTTAAATTAATTGTAACAGTAAAATTTAGCTAGTGGAATAAAAGAATTTGTTCAGTTATTTAATCTTACATCGGCAGTACAAAACTTACTCGAGTGGTAGATCATAAAAATATGCGGCGCAATTATTATTTCACCGGTAAAATGATTGAATGGAATTAGATAAATAGTTGGCCAGTTTTCAGCGTTCGGTAAAAGTTAAATGTAAATGTAACATATTGGTCGCGAAACGTTCCGTCTCAGTTCGACGATCGCATCTTTGGATTAGCCATGAAAAATAGAAATGTCAAAATCAATTTTAAATTCTTCGATTATCACTCAGAAATCACTGACCAACTCAAATTGGGTTATTTTATCCAGTGTGATGATTATTGTAAGACAATTAAACGGAATAAATGCACAAATTGATCCATTCATTAGTGCTGAATGCAGTCCTTCCACGAAAGTTCTGTGGTGGAAGTGCACGACCCCGTCAAACGAGTCATCTCGGACTACAGCCTGTATCCTAAGATGAAGACCTTAGAGCAGCTCATCTTCCGTAACACGTGCAACCGCAGCATCGTGACACATCCTGGGGGCCTGTTAAAGTAGAGATTTACTCGCACTGCCTCACTCAGTAATCACTGAACAGTTCAAATTGAATTATTTTATTCAGTGTGATGATTATTACAGATGGGTAACGCATGAGCAAAATAAACGTCAGGAGGATATGGAACACGGGGATGGAACGAGTTCACGCTCTTCATTTTCGATGGTAATTTTTGGACGTTCTGTGCCTGGTTTCTGTAAAAAAATATCAATTTCTCCCTGCGCCAATAAAACTGTATTTTTGCTGACATACAGTTCGTCAGCAATTACTTTTAGATCCTCGTCAAGTCTTTGTCACATTATATGCTTCTGAAAACAAGTTAAAGGCATTTTTACGTTTCTATTGCAAATCTTGAAACTATCAAGATGACAAATTAAATTTTTGATTGACGATTGATTGACAATTAAGCAGCTTGCTACATACTGATATAATTTTATTAGTACCAGTGTTATAGTGTTATTATTAAATATACATCTGTCCACCGACTGTACGCACCGATTAAGGGCAAAACGGCAATATTTAAACCAAAAAAAATCTTTCTATCAAATTACAAACGTCGTGTGAAAAGACGACGTGCGTTGTATAACTGTAATTATAGTGTGAAATGTGTACAACTCGTTCATTTTGTGATTGTTAAAATTAAAGGCGCCCTCCCGTTAAAAATTGATGTGCCTTTATACATGTGTTCTTTCTCCAGTTGTTGGTTATATATAGGGTTGCTATAAATCAGAACCGCCTGCCGCCATATTAACACACAACGTAGGTCCTACCTTTACCGATGTTCGCGATCATTGGCCAAATTGTTCATTTGAATTTTTGGGGCATTACAGTGTATAAAATTTTCTATTTTTTTTTTAGAACTGATCGGTATAATTTTCGACAAGCGTGGGAAAATGGGGTTTGGGTAAACACAGAAAGACAGTGTACATGGCCATAGGAGACACAGGGCAGGACATCGAAACAGAAAGTGGAGTAAAAAAAAATGTCAATCAGTACGAATACCTCGGAGTCTATGTATAAGTGAAGATGGAAAGCACATTAAAGATATAACAAAAAAAGGGGAAAGGAAAAGACACGATTGGAGCATTGAATTCAATCCGATAGGGTCGGCTTGGATCGGGCAGGGTCAAACAGTGTGTATAATACCATTAGTGGTATTATTTCATTTTAGAATATAATAACCGCTATAACGTGGAAATTTGGGGAAACAGAATCGAGAATTCGTCGAAATATTATTCGCAATGGTTGCAAAACGATAAATTCAGTGTCATATTATGAAATAAATGTTTTCCCCTATGACGTTCCGTGGCCCCGAAAACTACCTTTAACTTTTAATAGTACATTTTTCCACTTTTGCGCTACCGAAATTGAAATTATTGAAGTATGTATTGTCAGTAAGCTTAGTAAAAAAAATTTCAATTTTTTATGTATTATTAGTCTAAGTGAACGAGTCAAAAAAATATATCTTATGCATGCGCACTTCTCTGCTGTGAATGTGTTGCATGGGGGTGAAGCTGTATTGGAATTTTCGGTAAGATAATGGTTGTAGCATGACGATCTACAACGTGTTACAGAAAAAAGTACATTAAATTTAATCACGAACAGAACTCGTCAACATTATTATTATAAAACATTTTTCTATTTGGCATTTTTTCAAAAACGAATTGTTTTGTCAGAGTTTTACCCCGCCATTATTTAACAAGCCGGCCATTCATTTCTTCAATTGTTGACCGTGAATTTCACTTTCGATGCATCAGGTGGAAAGTGTTTGTTTTTACCCAATTTTTTGGCGAGTTGGCTAGCGATAACGTTTTATCAGCTTCAAAACAGTTGGTTCCTTTTCGACTTTCCTTTGCGGTGTTTTCACTTTTCGTTGTATGAAGTTATGCTCCGCTATTCGAACAGTGAATACACGGACATGGTGCTAGTGTATGGAGAAGCCCAGGGAAATGCAGTGCAAGCATAAAGAATTTTGATATTCCTGAAATTTTGCGGGAACGAGTGATGCGTGCTGCTGAAACAATTCGAAACAATGAAATTATGTTACAAAGAGTCAAAGACTCATTTCGTCGCCGTCTTCAGTGTTGTCTAGACAATAATGGTGGCCACTTTGAACATTTATTAAGAAGTTTTTGGCGATTTCAAGGTAGATCGACATTACCTATTACAGCTTTGCATTCAAGTGTTTACATTTTTTGTTCCGTATTGTGTTCATTTCTTATCCCTCTCCGCAAGAAACTGCTTTGTTAGCCATGGGCGGGTAGGTGAATTTGTATTAAATCTTTGACTAATTTTAACTCAATCACGAAAGGGTTTTCGACAAAATGTTATTTACAAATTTAATTGCTTTGGATTAGTTCTATTACCAGTTAAAATTAATGTACTTTTTTCTGTAACAGGCTGTATATTCCGTGTTTATTGCTTTATAGGTATTTAAGGTGTCCCACCATTAATAACCACCCGCTGTAAATTATGCTTATTTTCATTACCGTCTATCTTGGCAGCCTGCTTAATGTTATTGCACTTTTAAATACTTATTACCTTTGGTGAGTGTTGGTTAGAAAATCCCACTTTATGTTTACGGTTACTACTTGGAAAGTCAGTCACTACTGTACGCGCCATCTCGTGAAACACGTTCCATCTCTATCTTTAGTTACTATTTACGGTCTTCGGCAGGATGGGTCACTTATTTGAAATGATCTTCCCTCCTGTTAATATAAAGTCCTTGCCTTAGCATCATTGCCACTTCTTTATGTGTTTCAAAAACAAATGAGCATCGTGTGTCATCTAGTAATACTGTCAATTTTTTTAATTATATTTTACCGGAGTCGTTAAGCACAATTTCTTATATTAATTACGTCACGACAGGAAGAGAAATCGGGGGGCCGGCATTCCAAAAACCAGGCGATGCCATCGGCAATTAGTGTCGCAGATTCGGAATCAGAAAATTTTAAAGTCAATTTGATGTACAATTTGGGTCAAAAATCTTTGGTTGTCATTTCTATCATTTTTATTTCAAGAAAAAACCTAGCTATAAATCAAGCATTTGCGTCAATGTCATAGATTAATGTAAATAAATGATGGTTTGTCGAAAATATGGCACATTCTTTCTGCTCTTGACGAATGTAGAATAGTGTCTTTTGCTTCTGAGGGATTGTTTCTAGAGCAAGTAACAGAACCACTATCTATGACAAAAAATACCGTAACGTACATTGCAAACAAGTGGCGCAGAGCTAGCCTAATCGGGCGAAGTAGACAAAGATGTAGCAGAATTAGAATCTCTACGCTGGAGGAAGATGAAGCTGTGGTTCGTTCATGAAATTCAATACAGTCCGCCCACAGTAGCTTTTCACGCCAGACATTTAACAGGGTTCACCAGATCCATAAGCACAGTTGTTCTGGTTGTTGCTGTTACTAATTTGTACGTGACATTCTTTCGATGTATAATCATAAAAAAATAATAATCAAAAAATGATTAAATACTTGAAGTTAAGCCTGTTAGTGCTGAGAGGCCATTTTATCCCGTTGGTAATCTGCTTTAAATATATATAGATTATATTGTTCTTACTTGGGAGGGGGCAAGTAAAACCGACTTTTTGCTGCTTATCATTCGTTCATTCATTTATTCATTCATCGTTAAAGGTCAGTGCGAAAATTTTTTGGTAATCCTTCATGATGATCAACTTTTGATTCTGACGGATGTTTGGGCCTTGCCACAACGATTTTACATTGTCTATTGGAACAAAAATAAGAGCAACTTAGAAGGCTACTATCTTTTTACAAGAAATGTTGAAAATGCTGTCCTTGTTTGTTGATACGTAAAAAGAACACCGGAGTAGCGGCTGCCACTTTCACTTGTTGTTGAAGCTCTTTGATAATTTCTGGACACTGTTGATTTCCATAAACTAACTGTTTCATCCAACCGATACACATTTGTCGAAAACCGTCTCTTGAAATCGTACTTGTTGACGAACATGTGGAGTTTTATCGGACAAAAAGTGAGTCTTGTCGCTGTTGCACAAAATTGCGTTTGAATCCTGCTTCATCCGTAAACAGAATGCACTTTCAAAAGTTAGGCCGTTCACCACACTGCAGTAACAAGCATTTGCAGTAAATTACACAACGTGGACAATCAGCGGCCTCCAAACTCCAACTTCTTTCTGTCCTATCACGGCCACAATCGTGAGTTTAAGGTTGAAAGGACCATGGTATCCACACTCTGCATTGGAAAACTGCACTATAAACCGATTTCACCGACTGCTCGATGTTGACTGGCCCTTTTCGTGTTTTTTTCACGTTGCGATTAAAAAAGTGCCTGATAAAGTCACTTTTTTGGTTCTTAATCCGAGTCGCTCTGTCCCATTCATTGTAGTAATTATGTAGGTCACGAAATATTACCATTATAACAATTTATATTTAATTCCAAATAATTTTTTCTCGACACTGCTACCACTTAGGACCGTGAATTTTATACAGTGACGTACTCGTACTGTGAGCTATTCCCCATTTTTTTTGCATGTACGTCGCAATCACCTTGTATTACCCGATGACTGTCACAGGAGTAGCCTTCCAGGCTACGAAAAATGGTAGAAGCTAATGGCGCCATGACCATGAGTTTACTGAAGCTTATATTGTATAAACTAAGTAACCCAGCAGTAAAACTTCTTAAAAATCCTAACATTATTATAACAACTGTTTTTTTTTTTTTATTATTAATTTTCATTTTTCTGCTTAATAAAGACCAATGGAACAAACATCGACATCTGGCTTTGACAGAATGTTGCCAATGGTTATGATCGAATAAAAAATAAAGTTAACATTTCTAAAGCTTCCTTTACAAGTTAGTGTCTTTAAAGCGACATTGACGACCAAAGACTTGACCGTTATAGTACCCTTTTACATATATGCATGTAAATTAATTATTAATATGTAGTAAAATGAGACATCAAATACTCATAGTTATGTTTAATAACAAGTGCCAGTCGGTAATACAGATAACGTTTCAATTAATAAGTGATTTCAATTTGAACCCGCGTAATTGAAATCCAGCAATAGCACAAGAATTACAAATCAAGGGGTACGAGTCCATGCACACTGTCTACATCTTATTATTATAGAGAGGCCCGATATATTACTTTGTTGTGCCAGTGATTATAGATGTTAAATACATAGTCACTGGTTGTGCGCTGACTTGATGCGTCGAAATCACAGCAGACCGATGAACTCACCACAAGCCACTAAACTTGGCTCACCAAATACGAATCAAATGTGCGTCTGTAGTTTGTCTGCCGGAGATGGCTCTTATCGGTCGTCCCTACTTCGCTGGACCGTGGTAGGGGCGACAGCCAATGGGCATATGAGGGTGGTTCCTTTAGGGGTGACTGGGTGCTGTCCCGGCAGCGCCCTCGAAACGGTACTAGCGGAGCGTTTCGGTACTAACGGCGCGCACGATACATTATAGTACTGATTTTTGATTTGGATATTGTGTGTAGGTCCTTCATCTAAATTCTGTTGAACCGTAAATATTGTGTCACCATTTGGATTGTCCACTGTGTCTTTTTTAGTAATGATGATGCAAAAAGTTGATACAATCTATTCTAAACAAACCATTTCGTTCAGGGTACGTACTTTACAACTGGTGTGAATTTGTGCAATTCATTTTGTGACAACTTTGTTTATTTAATTTAAGCTTTTTGGTATATTTAGTACCTTATTTTCCTGTGTTGTCATTAGATTCAAGTCCATTTAGAATAATATAGTTTTTGAATCACTGGTAAATAATGTGTTTATTGAATGAAAAAATATTTTTGAAACCTTTTTGTGGAAGATCCTTATGTGATGGAGAAAAATAAAGTTCATATTTGGATTCAACACAAGTTACAAAAATGCATGCCTGTGTTATTAGCAGGGCCATGTAAAATTAGTCGAAACGCTCTAAGAGTTCTCCCACTGCTCATTATGATTGTTAAGTCCAGTGTCGCGCGGCAATTACAATGACTGAAAATACAGCGATGGGCGAATTGAAACAATATTACGCGCTACTGAACTAAAGTGGTGGGTTCTTATCGACTAACAATGCATGGCTCTGCTAAGAAAAATCATGAGCAAACATAACTCCTTGACTTTATAGGATCTACTAAAAGATGTCAGATCCCATCAGTTCAGTTGAACAAAATTGAAATTAGTATATGGGACTTCCTATAAACTGTATTTTTTTTCTTTCAGTTATGGAAGTAGCAAGCGGTGAACATGGTGATTTCGTGCAAAAATTAGTTGTTGCAGTAAATGCCGGACGATGTAATAATTTTGTGCGACAAGCTGACCTCAGAGGAAAAATAATCTCTAATGATATTGCCAAAGAAACAATAACAGTGAAATCACCCTATGAGTCTCATCCAGTGCCAAACGGATTTTCTAAAACTTCAGCTTCAGCAACATGTACAACATCGTTATTAGATTCGTCTGAAAATTTACCACAGATAGAAAAAAATGGTTTTCCTACCTCCGGATTACTTCAATTTTGGATTTTATTAAAACGGACAATTTATATTACTCTCAGGGATAAAACACTCACCATAATGAGGCTTATTGCCCACATTATTATAGGAATATTATTGGGCCTAATTTATTATGATTTTGGTAATAATGCTGCTAAAGTAGTGAGTAATGCTGGGTGTTTATTCTTTACTACCATGTTCACGATGTTTACTGCCATGATGCCTACAATTTTGACTTGTACGTTTTAAAATGCATGGTTCTTAGAAAGTGATACTCACTTGGCTATACTTTCAGTTCCAATGGAAATGTCCGTTTTTGTTAGAGAACATTTGAATTACTGGTATTCTCTAAAAGCTTATTATTTTGCTAAAACATTAGCAGACATACCATTTCAGGTAATTTTGATATCAAAATGCTATTATATACCTAAGTAAATGTGCCTTTTTTCAGATAGTCTTGACAGCCTGCTATGTAATGGGAGTTTATTATTTAACATCTCAACCTTTAGAAGCGACTAGATTTGTTATGGTTTTGTTGATATCGGTACTAACGGCGCTGGTTTCGCAAAGTTTTGGACTCTTAGTGGGAGCTGCTTTTAATATTGAGGTAATCAAAGTTGTAAATAAATACGTGTTTTAAAGTAGCTGATTCCAGGCAGGTGTATTTTTGGGACCAATATCAACAATACCGTTAGTCTTATTCTCTGGGTTTTTTGCCAATTTAGACGATATTCCAGTATATTTGAAGTGGGTGCCGTATATGAGCTACGTAAAGTATAGTTTTGAAGCCACTATGATATCGATATATGGTTTAAACAGGACAGAATTACTGTGCCCGGATATATACTGCCATTACAGAAAGCCTGCCAAGTTCTTAGAACAATTGGCTATGAAAGGTGATATGTTAACATACACCATTGATGTTGTGGTTCTTTGTGGACTTTTTATCGTTCTGAGAGTATTTGCATATTTTGTTTTGCGAATTAAATTACTTCAAATACGCTAGTCCAGGACACAATATCTTGACGATATTTCTTATTATGTGATAGATTATAGTGAATTTATAATGTGATGTATTTAATAATAATTTTTATATGACAGTGAAATAGTTAGCTTTAATTGTAAAATTAACAAAATGATCATTGGTTATAAAATGTATAATATACCGGTGTGAGCACCCTCAAGGTGGCAGTAGAGTTCGAGATTTCATGTTATTCAGCACAATATTTTCAATTCCAATAAAAACAATACAAAATCAAGAGAAATTAAATAATGGCAAGTATATCTGGTACCACTACCAGGTTTGGTCTTTAATTGATTCCCTAAAGTACCTCTTACGAAAAGAAGCGAAATATTATATTGTCAGTTTAGCGAAATATCCACTTGATTTTTACTTTCATTATAAACAGTTAAAACTGATATGTATTATATCATTAGTATAAGGCAAATATAACTTATGTGAGTTTATAGATGCAATTTTGTATTATGTCTTATATTTGGTGATGTTTAGAATTTTAAGCTTACGATTTAAGTACCACATGCAACATCGAAAACACAAAACACATTCTGCTCTCTGCAGATCCATGGCCGGCAATGAAATCAGGGAGAAGCAAAACATTTCGCCGTTATAATTTCAGAAATAATATTTCAAGTGCTTAACTGTGAAAATAGTGCTTAATTATATTTTTCAAACTTAAATTTAAGATTTTTGTACTAAAAATATCACTTGCTTTTTCTATTTCATGCTGTATGTGGATTTACAAACTACACTTGTTTTTATAGCTAGTAAAGGGATTTTTTAATATTTGTTTTTTTTTATTTCCCGAATATAAGTTATGGCGAAGGAAATATAAGTACATATTGTAATAACAGAGTACGTGTGACTAATGGCTAATTTCTTGTGTTCATGACGTTTCATAGCATCCGAAAAAGTAGGTTTTCAAATTGTCTTGTCTGTTGATGATTTTACTGTACACGTAATCTTTGAAGCTACGAAAAGTTGTGTGTCTGTTCATCTCTGGCATAAATTTTGTAACATTATCTGATAATTTTGCAAAATAAATTCTATTTAAATTGTGCAAAATAGTGTGCTTCAATACCTGTAATTCCACTCTTACTTCGAACCTTGTACACATGTAGTTTGTCTGTTTTCACGAACTTATGTAAAATTTAAAATATTTCGATTAGGGATACAGCCTAAGGGTCTGTATTTTTTTCGTGGTTAACGAGAACAACTTAAATGTTTGTGTGATTAAGTACAAAATGCATCAACTCGTTTATCGTTTCTGATTTAAATTTCTTATAACTCATTGGATTTTTGATGTGAATACTCTCTTTTGCTAATTGTTTTTTTCAAATTAAGTAAAGAGTAGAATAATTCTTTATATGAAGGAACTTCAAAATAATTTAGGTCACTAACAGCAGTGGCGGCTCGTGGTGATTTTTGATGGGTGGGCAAAGCATTATAGGTAGGTTATAACATGTATGAAAAAAATATATATACAAATATATTGTAGTAACCCAAACCTCCCGCCTTTTTTTTGACATTGAACAAAATTTGAAAAAGCCCGTTAAAATTTGAAATTTGGCCTTGGCGGTGATCGCCTACAAAAGTGGGACCCTATATTGTGTTTTGAAAACTGGCGGGAGGCGTTCGTTCATACAAATTGGCGCACTGCGGAGCGGGAAGAGTACGGAATTAAAAAAAACTTATGTTTGGGAAAAAAAAACTATGAGAAATAAATCCAATAAGAGTTCAAGAGACCTTGGCCAAGGGCCCCAGAAGAGCTTAAAGAATTTATTCCTCAGAGAAAAAAAAACATTTATTTTCGTTGGAACCTGAGAACATAACAAAATATTAGCAACCTCACAAGTACAACAAGAAACAAAATTAAAGGTCGCGGAATTCTCGGAAAGTAAATGGATGGCAACGTTCCAGATATTACGGTAGTGTGGCCTCTACAAACAATATGGGGGCGCACAGCGAGCGCAGGGCGGCAGTCGCACTCCCCGTGAAGGCCCACGAGGTTCTCCTGCTTCACCACTTCACGCGCGTGGTCTTACGAACCCGCATGCTATAGGTTGACCTTCCTGGCCCCGCCAATAAGGTAGCTGTGTAAACTCCGAGTCAGCCAAGGTCGGAAGTCTGGCAAGAGCCGTAACCACCCGCACGGAGTCGTCGCCGCCACCGCGGCCAGGCCACACGACCCCTGAGTTATCTAGCGCCATTAAATTGAGTATTTGGATTTCAGACAATAAGCAAAATTTAATTGGCCACAACCCGTCAACATTTGTTTTAAATAACAAAGAAATTTAAATGAGATTAAATTATGCACGTGTGATCAACAATCTTATACAACAAGGAAAATGAAATGAGAAATTATTGATATTTTTGTCAATAACTTTAAAGAACAAGAATTTTGAAAGAGATTAACTTATTCACATTTTGGCAATGATTTTATTAAATTAAGCTACATTTACGTTGCTGATTTCATCAAGAATTTATCTGATAATAACAAAGAAGCTATGGATTTTATTAAAATATTTATCTGACATTCTGACATTAAATAAAGAAGTTATAACTGCATTAAAATGATCTGGGCAAAGTTACGTTGTTGACCGAATTAAACAAAAACAAACAAACTCTCCCCCCCCCCCCCCAACACATCCCCAAACAATACACATAAATAAAAACACATACGAAATAAACAAAACAACACATAAAATGCGACATATAAAATATGCAAAATAAATAAAATATCGGCAACCATGGGAGCACATTCGATTTGAATTGTACCTTCCCTTCAACAACATTCATTTTCAAATTCATCGACAAAGTTTTCGGTCAATAACAAATCCACAATGACTAATACAAAAATTCACAAAGGACGTCCTTGAAATTCCCCGGTCAATACCCCGTACCCGCACCCTAACACTTTCTGTTTCTATTTTTAACGATTGAATATTTGAAAACTTACATGAAATTTTCCAGAATTAGAGTTTACAACAAACGAATAATAAATCGAGAAAAAGCCAGTCAAATAAATACCTTAGATATGATAATGTCAGTCAAATTAATGTGCCTAATTAATCGATGTTACTAACACAAGAAAATCCCCCGTCCCCCTGACTATGATGTCATTAATTTTTCTGATGCCGTTCTCAGCGTTATTTTGTTAAAGATTTGCTTTCTCAGATTACGTTTGAGTTTACTTTACTCACACGTGCTGAAATTATGCAACGCAAAATAATAACTCGAAAATTGCCATTCAACTTTCCGCATAACATTCGCTAAATAAAACTGCCCTAGCTAACGTAATTCCCTGAAAAGCCCTACTAAAACGGATTGAAATTATGTTGAAAAGGTTAGTACGAAAATTAACGGCAACGGCGTAATCCGGAAGTGCCGTTATTTTGTAGCGTCCGTTCGCGTATGTGACACACACGCGAAGCTCACATATGTGTGTGGTTCCCGCGTCGCACATACTCCGTAACCATCGAGAAGCAACCACCAGCACACACGGAATCACGTGGAAAACATACCTCTCGGATCTTCAAACCAAATGTGACCAAATACGTGCTCACCACCGAAATAACCTCTCTGTGTTCGAACGGAGCGGAGAATTCTTACGTTCGCTGCCTCGTCAGGGGGATGTAACTCCGTTAGAAGAAATCAGCACTAGAACAGGAAACAAACAACGCACAGACACTTGAAAAAAACACAGAGAGCACCAACCCGACGTCTTACTCGAAAGAAAGAACAAGTCAAACTGGCCGCGACTCACCCTTCTCAAACACGACCCTTCTGCGCATCTCCCTCTTAGTGGTTTTCGTTTCTTTCCATTTCTACCACTTTTCTTACCAAAAGTTCGGCGCGCGGAAATTTGGTTCGAAACGGCTTACTACAATATAATTAATCATTTTTGTGAGAACGTGTTTTTGTTTTGGTGCTGCATGTCAATCAATATAATATAACAAATATTTTATGTATATTACATATATATTATTTTATAAATATTACTTACAATCTCGTTCAGCAAGAACCATCGAGAACGTCGAAGACTCTTGCTAGAAGAGGAAAGAGGAGCAAAAAAAAGGTTCAGCACATAAATTGATTTGTTAGGAGTTTATAGAACTATAAACTCAAATAATTGTCCCAACATTTAAAGATTTTGAAATAACATGACAAGAAAACGTTAAATTTTAAACCTTTGAGATAAGCTACACTTAGAAAAAGCAGCAATTTGTCAACCAGCAGTTATTTAACAGTCTCATAGATGGCGCAAGGAACCATTTCACCCCAGACAGTGTCGGCGATTCTTGTGCGAGTACTGTTACTAAACATCGGCTTTGTTTTCTTTAACGCCTCGCACGTCGCCGCCCGGCTCCTCCGTCTTCGTAATGTTATGACTGCGACACGACGTAGTAGCAGGTATGGTGATCCAACTACTGGTTCGTTTTTATGACTCTATCCTATTGTGAAGAAGTTAGGTGTTCCACAATAGGCCTCTGCCGTAAGTAATCCAGCGGTCATAAACCATTAAGGGACCAACTGTCTACCCTACACAGGGCCGTATGCGCCCGTAAACCTTTAAGATGATTTATGGCACGGCTGTTTACATTTTCAATAGAGTTCCTAATACTTACGGTAATTGAGATTACAGTGCCATAAAAACGAAGTCAGAGTTGGACCACTATAGTTGTTCTCATAAAATAATGGTCACTTTCGTTCGTGAGTGACGATGGTCTTTGTCCGGATCTGGATTATTTTGCTTTCTAACATTTTTCGACCAATTGTTCCGTAAAAAAAAATTCATCACTTTTTCAAATAAAATACTATTAAATGTTCATAATAAATAAATAAAAAAAAACGATATTGTCGTTGAATGACATGTAACTGGCATAATAATAAAAATGTGACATTTTTGTTAACTGATATTTTTTTCATAAATGTCGCAAAATTATTAAATATGTCTAATCATCGCCACCAATAATGTGATGTCCTACACATGTAGTTTATAACTTCGTGTTGAGTTTTTATCCGAAACGTCTAGATTTTTGGAAAAAAAAATCAAAATTATAAATATTGAATTTGCAAAATCGAATACATACTTTGAAATCTTGCAGATGTTTTAAAGTCATGATAGACATCATGAATTAAAATATGTATATTTGCTTATCCCCGTTAAAAAATCTATGACGTCACCTCAAAATTTTGCTGAATAAATCCTGTTTTAAATGTGTAAAATATGATGAGTATATATACTTGTGATTTATCACTGCATTAATATTTTTTAGATTCAATAAAATAAATTGCGCCCTGCACCCCATTACAAACATACCCCTAAACGTGGCACTACTTGCTCAGTTATTGGAATTCGTGCGAGTTCAACTGTGTGTGTAGTTGGTTGCCTACATGTGGTGCAACAAATAGGGTGCAAACCATAGGGCGAACACAATATAAATATTTTTTTTCTGACACAAGGAACCATTTGCACAACTTTTGAAGGTAAGGAACGTGATCAGGGGGTGATGTAGAAGAGTTTTGCGTAAACAGTTTGTGTGAAATCGTGAAGTGCCCTTTGTAAAATTTCACCTTATTTTACAATTAGAAGAGGGTTATGTAGCGGAGAAATGCAGTTTCGAATTTTATAGTGAAGCACAGGCCCAGATCTTTAAGGCCAAATTGCCACCTATTAAAATACCCTTAGAGCATAATGATTCGTCCGAAAGGTAAGAAAGGCTTGACTGAACTTGGTTATTTCTAAAATCTTCTTTGCAGTTCGGATACAGATTTCGATGATTCGGGGAATGAAAAAACGGAAAAATTTAAAGAGAACTCATTTGATGCAGATAATAATCCATCTGATGAATTAGATTAATGGGATAATTAGTTATAAAGTTTGTTCATGGGATAATTAGTGATAAAGTCTTACATTTTTTGCAATAACATCTGGATGAATCCAATTCATTAATAAACACAGTTTTTACATAAGGCTGTGAATTCGCTTCACATGGTATGCCCTAGTCCACTTTGTAGACGCTCATAGGGACGTTGCGCGAATTTGTTTAATAATAATAATA